GTTCATTTCACTTCTCTCTGTTTCTGTGTGCACATGCACATACACACCAGGTGTAATTCTCTGACATTTCAATGGGCATAGAAACTGTTTTCCCCCAGCATAAGCCATGATAAAAACTGACCTGAAATGAACTAAATGGATTATGCCTTCAGTTAGTGAACAAGTTAAATGTTATAGTGATAGAAACACCTATTATTCATTTCCTCCAAGGTATAATTATTCTTGCAATAATAGCTGTATTTAAATATCAGTAATTCTTCCTTATTAAGAACCATCTACATGATTTCCAGCAATATATTTTTAAACACTCTAAATTAGAAACTGGATTTTGCAACTTTTGAAACAATGTATATCAGACTACTAGTTTTCACAGAAGCAATTTTATTTTTTATAAAAATACCTGTAAGCACAGGAGATTCACCTGATGCAATGAAGATGAAAACCATGTCAGCAACTAATAACAAAGGTTTGCAAAGAGTTTATAAGTCACTGAGTCACCCTTTATGTTAGCAGAGAACACTGTCTCCGTATTTGCTGAAAAGATGCATTGAAACGCGGAGTTGCCAAAGGACACATGGCATGGCCATATTGTTGCCGTGATCTGAGCTGGCTTTGCATGAGCTTGCTCACAGGCTCCGACTCCTGTTTTTGTGCTGTGATGTTGTTCAGTTAGGTCCGTGCTCCAGCGTTTGCATTTATATCACAGACCATGGTGTGAAGGGTGCTGCTTCTTTTTTTTTTTAAATATATTTTATTAATTTTTTACAGAGAGGAAGAGAGAGGGATAGAGAGTTAGAAACATCGATGAGAGAGAATCATCGATCAGCTGCCTCTTGCACACCCCCTACTGGGAATGTGCCCACAACCAAAGTACATGCCCTTGACCGGAATCGAACCCGGGACCTTTGAGTCCGCAGGCCGACGCTCTATCCACTGAGCCAAACCGGTTTCGGCAAGGGTGCTTCTTAACAGCGAAGCGTCCCATGCTGAACCCTCACTGATCTGTAGCTCCCACCACCATTATGAGAAAGGTTAAGCTCTGGTACTGACACACCTTGACATATTCACGGGCCCTTCTTTTCTGTTTACTTGTTAAGATCAGTTACAGATTGGTGGCCCACGAGAGAGAGGACCTCCTGAATACTGCAGGAGCACAATTAACGCAAGAAGGCTGATTGATGGCTGGGCTCTTAAAGTGATCCTCTCCTGCCAATAAGCCTCAGCCCTGCTCCTGGCCAGAGTTCTGGTTCGCTTTCGGACACACTGGCATTTAGAATACTGTGATTTTATACCTGATGGGCCAGTTTGTTAAATCAAAGAGTATATATTGTAGTTCCCTGACATGTTTGGCTTGACCTTTTGGACAAATAGCAAGTCATCTCAAGTATCTTTTGCTTTACGACAAATTTGAGTTTCCCAGGATGTGTGGGACCTGTCCTCACTCATTAGTGACTCAGCTTACTTAGCTCATGCTTCTGAATTGGCAGCCCAATGTGGACCTCTCCCTCCTCTGTTATTACAGACACAGTTACATGGAAGAGTATGTGCTTAGTGGTAGTCTCCAATACTAGTGTTCATGAACTCTTCTGTCACATTTCTTAAGATCAACTGTGCAATGCTATAGTATTTTCTCTACTCATAATTCCAACATCATTTTGAACAGGTGGATTAAAGTTACATGGAAATTGTTGGTAAATTGTGATGTTGTCTTACAGTCAGTGGTTCAACATTTTCTTTGCTCTCCTCTCCTCTCCTCCCTTCCCTTCTTCATTAATCTATTTCTGTGCTTAATAGGCTCCTGATCTCAAACCTGTGGTTTCCTCTTCCACTGATTCTTTTATTTTCAGTCTCCTCCCTCATTTCTATAAGACAGTGCTTCTTTTTTTCCCCCTTTTTGAATGAATTAATTGGGGTGATATATCCCTCTATATAAAAGCCTAAGCAACTGGTTGACCACTCAACTGGTCAACTGGTAGCTATGATGTGCACTGACCACCAGGGGCAAGTGCTCAATGCAGGAGCTGCCCCCTGGTGGTCAGTGCACTCCCACAGCAGGAGCTCTGCTCAGCCAGAAGCCAGGCTCATGGCTGGCAGGTGCAGCTGTGGTGGCAGGAGCCTCTCCTGCCTCTGTGGCAACACCACGTGGCAGTGGCAGGCGTTAGTAGGACCAGGATGAGCAGGAGCAGAGCGACACCCAGACCCAGCTCAGGCTCCTCCCCAGCCACATGCTACTGCCACATACTCATGCACTGCTACTTCCCCTAAGGGGTCCTAGATTGTAAGACGGTGCAGGCCAGGCTGAGGGACCCCTCCAGTGCACAAATCCATGCACTGGGTCTCTAGTTAGTTAATAAAATTATATAGGTTTCAGGTGCACAATTCTATAATACACCATCCAAATATTGTATTGTGCGTTCACCACCCCAAGTCAGGTGTCCTTCCATTACCCTTTATCCCCTTTTACCCTCTTCTAACTCCCCCTCTTCCCTCAGGCAATCACCATACTATTGTCTGTGTCCATACGTTTTTCTTTTTTTTGCCTAATCCCTTCACCCTCCTCACCCAGCTCTCAAACCCATCTCCAATAGCTGTCAGTCTGTTCTCTTTATCCATGAGTCTGTCTCCACTTTGTTGGTTACTTTATTTTGTTCATTAAATTCCACATGTAAGTGGAATTATTTAGTGCTTGTCTGTCTCGGATTGGCTTATTTCACTTAGCATAATACTCTGTAGTCCATCCATGCTGTAGCAAAAGGTAAGATTTCCTTCTTTTTTACTGCAGCATAGTATTCCACAGTATAAATGTACCATAGCTTTTTTATTCATTCATCCACTGATGGGCACTTGGGCTGCCTCCAGATCTTGGTTATTGTAAATAGTGCTTCAATGGACATAGGGGTGTGCATATTCTCTTGAATAAGTGTTTTGGTTTCCTTTGGACATATTCCCAGAAGTGGAATTGCTAGGGTCATAAGGTAGCTCCATTTTTCCCCCCAGGTAACTGCATACTATTTTCTATAGTGGCTACCCCAATATGCATCCCCAATCCAACAAAAAATGGGCAAAGGACCAGAGTAGACACTTTTCAAAAGAAAATGTACAGCTAGCCAATAGATGTGTTCAATATTACAAATGATCAGATAAATGAAAATGAAAGCCATAAGAAGATATCATCTTATACCTGTCAGAATGGCCATCATCAATAAACCAGCAAACAACAAATGTTGGTGGGGGTGTGCAATTGGTGGGAATGCAGATTGGTGCAGCCATTGTGGAAAGCAGTATGGAGTTTCCTCAAAAAAATTAAAAATGGAACTGTCAAATAACTCAGCAATTCCACTTCTAGATATTGATAAATGAATTCAGTAAAGTACCTGGATACAAAATAAATATTCAGAAATCAGTGCATTTTTATATACCTATAATGTATTATAAAATGGTAATCTGAAAAAAAAAACAATTTCATTTACAATTGCTTAAAAAATACCTAGGAATAAATATAACAAAGGATTTAAAATACCTGTGCTTGGAAAATTACAGGACACTTAAGAAAGAAATTGAAGAAGATAAAAATAAGTGGAAACATCTACTGTGCTCATGGATAGGAAGAATTAACATCATCAAAATGTTCATACCACCCAAAGCGATCTATAGATTCAATGCAATTGCTATCAAGATACCAATGACATTATTTCACAAAACTAGAGCAAATATTCCAATAATTTATATGGAAACACAAAAGATCCCAAATAGCCACAGCAATCTTGATAAAGAAAAACAAAATAGGAGAAATCATGCTACCTGATATCAAACTATACTACAAGGCCATAGTAATCAAAACAGCATGGTATTGGCATAGAAATAGACATATAAATCAATGGAACCAAACAGAAAGATCAGAAAGAAACCCAGGACTTTATAGTCAATTAATATTTGACTAAGGAGGCAAAAATGTACAATGGGGTAAAGATAGTCTATTCAATAAATGGTATTGGGAAAATTGGACAAATATGTGCAAAAACACACACAAACAAACAAAAAAAACCTAGACTACCTTACACCATATAAAAGAATAAACTCAGAATGGGTTAAAGACTTTAATGTTAGGCTCAAAACCATAAAAATCCTTGAAGAGAAGATAGGTAGTAAAATCTTGGACATTTATCATAGCAATATTTTTTCTCATGTATCACCTCAGGCAATGGAAACAAAAGAAGACATAAACAAATGGGACTACATCGAACTAAAAAGTTTTTGCATAGCAAAGGAAACCACCAACAAAATGAAAAGACAACCCACTGAATGAGAGAACATCTGATTAATTTCCAGAATTTATAAGGAACTTATAAATTAAAAGGCAGTATATTTATCTTTATGCTATAACCAATCTTCAACATATACTATATATTTTAATTTTAAAGAATCATGTATATTCTTTTACATTAATGTTTTTATATCTTTCTTTTCTGGTACTTAATGTTGGCTTTTACTTTCATAGCCATATTTAATTGTAGCACTAGTTTTCTGTATTATAGTATAGTATAAGAGAAAGACCTGAGCATAAAATTGCTATGTTTACACATACTGAAAAGTGGATTAATAGTACCTATTTTATCAGTTTATGTACATAATGAAATAAATAATGTACTACAGTGCTTATCCAAAACCAGGCATCAGTAAAGATGGTAAATGTTAGAATCAATTCCACCAGGCAGGGACCTTTGACTCTTATGCTCACAAGCACCTAATACAGTGCCTGGCACACACAAGTTCTCAGCAACTCCTTGTCAGCTGTTGCCTTGTCGTGGTTCTTACTCGATAGCCCTCATCCCAGGGCCTTGAAAATTAAACACAGCAGAGCTGGATGCATATAAAGCACATAACACAAAGAAGGCGGTTTTGCTAGAATTATATGTTTAGAGACACCGTAGGCAAATGCTTGGTGAGTGTCCTTGGGAAATGCCCTCGGAAAGGCTAATGGTCTGTTCTCCTGTCCTCAGGCTTTCTGTTTTCCCTGGTGGTGGTCCTGTACGTCATCTGGGTCCAGGCGGTGGCTGACATGGAAAGCTACACCAACGCGAAAGCAGAAGACTGCCTGGATTTCACACCTTCTGTGCTGTACGGCTGGTCGTTCTTCCTGGCCCCGGCAGGCGTGTTCTTTTCTCTGCTCTCTGGGTTACTGTTCCTTGTCGTTGGGCGGCATATTCAGCTACACCACTAACCACACTGTTGTCATTGAAGTTTTCTTGAGAAGTTTGAAAACAGCATATTTTATTTGTATTTGCTCCCATGAATCTAGCAGAGAAGTAGTTGATGTAACTTCTTAGTTGCTATTTCAATTAGCCATTTCACTTGTGATTTTCTCTAATAAGAAGGTTCTGGAATCTCTGCAGATACCAGCATGTTTTCATCTTTTAAGTGCCACCCAGAACCTGGTTCTTCAGGAAGCAGGTGACAAGGCCTCCTTCATGGCACTTGCCAGACTTCATGAGGGCTGCAGACATTAAAGGCAGAATAACAGCATAATACCATGTGCTGGGGCAATTAAGATTTGATTCAAAGCTTCCTTCGTGGCATTCACTTCTGTTGCTACTTAAAAAAAATTTTTTTTTGGAAAGTAGTTAAGAAGGGGAAACAAGTATCAGATAATTTACTCCATTTTCCCCCCACACACATGGATATAGAACTTAGACATATCTAAGTTCACTGACTCCTTTAAGCAAATTATTCATTATTTAAATTATTCATTATTTAGATAGCAGTTATTCTTGTAGTAGGAGCCGCACAAACGTATCAGTTAAAATTGGCCACACAAAAAGAAGAATGTCCACGTTCCTATCAGCAGTTGTTTGGATACATGACTTTAGAGTTTAACTGTGCATGCTTACATAATCTTGATCTATATTTAAAAGTTGTAGCAAATCTGTACACCAAAATACATATATCGATAATATAGATTGGATTTTTAGAATTTAAAATGGGTTAATTGTATATTTAATACGATTGAAAATACAAAGCCCAAGAACCTTAGCTTACTACATAATTCTTTTTGATATTTAAAAACTTCCATTTAAGATTATATTGCTAATATGTTCATCTTATGAAAATTTATTGATGAAATGTGCTTTTAATATGCACAAAATACTTCTATATGAGGATAATAGATTTACTTTATTAAAGACTATGAAGCTTTAACTTTTTCGAGATTGTATGGATTGTAGTTCTTCTGATCATTTGACTCCTTAATTATTGTCCCTCAAATTTTTCATCTTTACAACAACTATTTTAACATTTACAACTTTTACATTTCCTTTAATCTCTTCGAAGAAAACTTTCACTTTTTTGCAAGGGGTGGCACCAGGGGATGAGTGGAGTGGGAGGGGATGATTCTGTATTATTGATGAGCATAGACTTTTGCAATCAAAGATGTTTGTTTGGTACAGACTGTGAATGAATCAAACCCACCTGAGAAGCCTAGATCTCACATTTTGGGACCCTCCCATGGGAGGGTGTGCAGGGAAGGCGGCGGGAGCATGGCAGAGACTGTCCCAGGGCAGCGTTTTACTCAGCTGCGTGGAGGCAAGGCAGGGCTCAGCAGACGACCTGACCACACAGAGACTGGGGATGGAGGGGCTGCGCCTTCATCTAAAAAACATACCAAAGAAACAGAAATACAATAAAACGTCAGGATTTTAACTGGTTTCTCCACCCATTTCAATTAATCATTTTGTGTAGCTTCATTTGCCTTTTGTTCTACTTCGATGTTGTTTCAGTTAGTTCTTTGCTTTTGGCTTGATGATTAGAAAAATAATTATGGGTTCTATGCACATTGGTTGTGATATGAAATTATGGCATGCCAGTAAGTTCTCCAGACGATGCTAGCTGTATTTATTAGTTCACATTATCTGTAAGTACAGTTCCTTTCTGTGGAACTGTGGAATAGAGCCCTTTTCTGTCATATTACCTGTCATTTAGATTTCACACACAAGCTGCTTTCTCTAACCAACCGATCAACTTCCCAATCCTTCACAGGCTTCTGATGGGCATTCCCCCAACCTATCCATTTCCTAGATATTTCAGGCTTTGTGCCCCTTATCCAATCTGACCCTTTCCCAGGCTTGGCTCCTCTCCTCCTGGGCGCTGTCTAGTTCCTCCTGTGCAGGCTTCCAAAAGAAGCACCTCACCCAGACCTCTTGGCTTTACAGGGCATGCACCAGCAGAGGACGTTGCCTTTTATTGTCCCACTAGAGGCCTGGTGCATGAAATTTGTGCACTCAGGGTGTGTGGGGGGTGGCGATTGGAGGAGTGGTATGAGGGGTGTGGATTATGAGAGGGTGCAAACCAGACCGAGGGATCCCACTGGTGCATGATTGGGGCTGGGGAGGGACGTGGGAGGGTGGCCAGCCAGGGAGGGGTGATGGGAGGGCTCCAGTGTGTGCCAGGTCGGTCTTGCCCAGCAGCAAGCTAACCTACTGGTCAGAGCATCTGCTCCCTAGTGGTTAGTGTACATCATAGCGAGCAGTTGCGTGGCCTTAGTGTATCATTAGCATATTACACCTTGATTAGTGAATGGCCAACTGGACGACCAGACACTTAGCATATTAGGCTTTTATTATATAGGGTCCCTCCCCCAGTCACCTGCCAATGGACAGGTGGTTCCCCGGGGAGCATGTGAAGCTGTAGCTTCCTAGTGAAGCAGACCCAATGTTGGATTCAGCTTCAAGTTTACTAGGATTCTTAATGTCTGAGTTCCTTTGCTCCCTTTCTTTATTAACATCTAGCTTCCTATGAAGGATGGCTAGAGAGAGTAACTTTATCTGCACTGAAACACTCAATAATGAGAGTTCTAGCCTGTACAGGGACCAAAAACAGAGGAGTGATGGGACATGTGATATGAAGAGATGAGAATATTTTGAGAATTGTGCCTCACCTGTTTGACCTGAGGAGTTATTTATGCCCAAATAACACCTCCTAGATGAGGATCCACCGTGCCTGTCTCCTCCTTTGGAAATTAAGGTTAATAATAGTAATCAGCTGCACACAAAACAATCATGGGGATGGGGTGGAGAAGTCTCCATAAATGTAACAGCTTAGGGGAAAGCACAGTCAGGGACAGTGCTGAGAAGTGCTAAATGCAGTAGTAGAATTATGACTTCTCTGCACATTCCTACCCAAGGCCAAGTTAACACAACTGCTCCAGAAACATTAACTTGCACTCAACAAATACATACTGGCTCCATGTAACACCAGAATCTAACACTAGAGGGATTTTAGATAACAAATAACCACAGCTAACCTTTTTAATAGACTTTATTTTATAGAGCAGACTTTGTTTTTTAGGTTCTCAGCAATATTGTTAAGGAAAATTCCTTTTCCATATACCTCATGCCCAACCCCTTGACACATAGCCCCCCTTATTGCCAACATCTTACACAGAGCAGCACATTTGCTACGGCTGATAAATGTACATTGTTGCATCATCACCCCCTAGCATCCATAGTCTACATTAGGGTTCATTCTTTCTTTTCAGAAAATGTTTTTATTAATTTTAGAGATAAGAGAAGGGAGAGAGAGAGGAAAACATTGATCAGGATGCCCTCTACTGGGGATTGAGTGGGCAACCCGGGCATGTGAATGGGAACCCAACCAGTGACCTTTGGTGCTGAGGAGACACCCAGCCCAGTGAGCACATCAGCTGGGGCCAGGACCACTCCCGGAGTTGTACAGTCTGTGGGGCTGGATAAACGTATAATGACACGTATAACCCACCATTAATGAACTCCACAAAGCAGTTTCACTGCCTAAAAACCTGTGCTCCCCTGTTCGTCCCTCCCTCCTGCTTACCCCTTGGCAGCTAGGGGTCTGTTTCCTGTCTCCACAGTTTTAATTTTTCCAGAATGTCATACGTATTTGTAGTCACACAGGATTTAGCTTTCCAGACTGGCTTCTTTCATTGAGTAATATTCATTAACATTTCTCCCATATCTTTTCATTGATTGATAACTCCTTTCTTTTTGTACTGAATAATATTCCATTGGATTTTTTTTTTTTTGTTTTGTTTTTTGCCTTCTTAAAATCTATTTACCTACTGAAGACATCTTGGTTGCTTCCAAGTTTTTTATTTTATTTTAATTCTTTATTGTTGAAAGTATTACATATGTACCACTCGCAGGTGTCCCCCCTCCCTGCTGACTTCCACCCCCAGCACATGCCCCCACCCCCCTATTGTCTGTGTCCACTGGTTATGCTCCTATGCATGCATACAAGTCCTTCGGTTGATCTCTTACACCCTCCCCTCTCCCCAGCCTTGCCTCTGGGTTTGATGCATCTATGTCTCTGGATCTATGTTTGTTCATCAGTTTATGTTGCTCATTATATTCCAAAAAGAGTGAGGTCATGTGCAGAATGACCCAGGAAACCGCTGTAGGAACTTAAGTCCCTAAGGGTCTCACAGCTGTTCAGGCTGGGACCTTGAGACCTCAACCAAGCCTCTGACAGAGTGAGGGTAGAGGGAGGATGAATTTAAGGTATTTTGTGGGTATGAAAAATGGGGAAGGGGAGAGAGAGAGGAAGAGAGAGAGAAAGAGAGAGGAGAGGAGAGAGAGGAAGAGAGAGAGAGAGGAGAGAGAGAGAGAGAGAGAGAGAGAGAGAGAGAGAGAGAGCGAAAGCCGCGAGAGACAGAGAGAGAAGAGAGGAGAAAGAAAGAGAAGAGAGAGAGAGAGAGAGAGAGAGAGGAAAGAGAGGGAGAGAGAAGAGAGAGAGCGAAGAGAGATAGAGGAGAGGATAGAGAGAGAGAGAAGAGAGCAGAGAGAGAGATAGAGAGCTCGGAGATAGAGAGAGAGAGACCCTCTCGAGAGAGAGGCAGCCTCCTTCGAGAGAGAGGAGAGAGAGAGGAGGAGAGAGGGATACTCGAGCTTCCTCTCGCTCTCTCTTGTCGCGCTTCTCCCTCTTTGTCCCGTCTGTTTCTTACTCCCCCCGGTAACAACCATCTTCTGCATTTCGCCCTGGGAGCACAGCATCGTTGCCCCATTCCCCTCTCGTCTCGAGCTGGAGGCTGTGTTGCAGCAGGTGCTGGAGTTTCACCTGCCTTTTCCCTGTCCCTGGGCCCGGCCCTCCCGTCACCGCCCTCTCCCTCCGGCCGGTGAACGCGCTGATCTAGGTGCACAGGGTGGGTGCTGACACAGCCTCTCCTGCTGACCGGAGAGGACACGGAGCCGTTTCACAGGCCCTGGCACTCTGGGGAGGAGCACCTGACACGGCCAAGAGCCCCCTGCCACAGCCACCCGGTTAGCACCGCTTCCCCACTCTGCTTTGGGCACCTCCCAGTGTGCCCTCTGCAGAGGCCTAAACTTTACTCTCTGGCATCTCCCCCATCACCCCCCCCCATCACCTCCCCCATCACCTCCCCTGTCACCTCCCCCGTCCCCTCCCCCGTCCCCTCCCCCATCACCTCCCCCCGCACCTCCCCTGGCACCTCCCCCATCACCTCCCCTGGCACCTCCCCCATCACCTCCCCTGGCACCTCCCCCATCCCCTCCACCGTCCCCTCCGCCCGTCCTGTCCCCGCCCCCTCCCCCCATCACCTCCCCCAGCACCTCCCCCATCACCTCCCCCGTCCCCTCCCCCATCACCTCCCCCGTCCCCTCCCCGTTCCCTCCCCCGCTCCCTTCCCCATCACCTTCCCCATCACCTCCCCCGTCACCTCCCCCGCCCCCTTCCCCGTCACCTCCCCTGTCACCTCCCCCTCCCCCTCCCCCATCACCTCCCCCGTCCCCTCCCCCATCACCTCCCCCGTCACCTCCCTGTCCCCTCCCTCTCCCCCTCCCCCATCACCTCCCCCGTCACCTCCCCCTGCACCTGCCATATCACCTCCCCATCATCTCCCCCGTCCCCTCCCCCAGCACCTCCTCCAGCACCTCCCCCGCAGACAGCTCAGTCCTTGGGGAGCTTTGAGAAGCAAGACTGTCCCGTTAGAGGTGATGGACATAGCAGACAATGGGACCTGAGGGTAACACTCAAACAGCAGTAAACTGGATGCAGTCCCGGTGCTCAGCTCAGTTCTGGGGGATTGGACACGGTCCCGCCAACCCAGCCCGGGCGTCCGCGGGGAGGGCCACATTGCATTGCATTTGCCTTCAGAGCTGGTCCACCATGACCCTCCCAGGAGCCGCCCATCGGGGAAGGGCAGCAGGTCCCAGCT